AAAAAAAAAAAAAAAAAAAAAAAATAATGATAGTAATAAACATAATAAAAAGAATGATAATGATATTAACTACACATAACTTTCAAAAACACTAAATGTTCACTATTATTTTATTAATATATCAGTATTAAATATATTTAACACTATTACTGTAATGACTTATGTATCATAAATGGTAGAATTTCAAAATTGTCTTGGTATAATATGAAATAATAGATGTTCTTTATATATATAAGCATATACTTTTATTAATACTTCTACTTAAAAATGATAATATTAAAATTGTATATTCATTATACAAAATGAACAATTATTTTAAAATACAGATTTTTCAAGTCATATTTCATAATATGTTGAATTCATATAACAAAAAAAAAAAAAAAAAATATTCTCTTAAATGGCCTATTTAAAGAATAAAAATTTTTTAGTATATTCTATTAATGTATATATATATTTTTATTAAAAATTGTATTATTTTCTTTTTTCTCTCTTTATTTCTTATAATTCATCCTCATATTTTGTATTATCTACAAATTTTAAACTTTTTGTTAAATTCTGATTAATAGCTATCCCACCACTTACAACATTTTCAACAAAATTATGAACATTATCCACATTTACTTCTCCATCATAAATACGAAATCTTTGTCTTTTAGGTCTAAATGCTACTAAAATTAAGCAATTAGAATACGTGCATTTATTTTGTAATCCAAATGATTCTAATATATATGGATTCTCATAAACATTTATATATAAAATTTTTAATGGATCACTGGAAAATTTACTTGCTACCTTCTTTATATCATCATCAAATTTTTCATAATTTTTTTTTAAAAGTTTTAATATAAAAAAACATATTTGAGAATCCTTTTCACGACATTGTCCTGCTTCATATTTTTTTTTTGTTAATTCTTGGTAGCTTGTAATATGACCATATAAATTATTTTGCAATCTATTTTGAGCAACAATATGGCTTAGTTTTAATGATAAGATATTAAAATCAAAACTTTTCAATTGCGTCAAATCTCCTGATAAGTTATCTATATCTTCAACAACCAAAATAGCAGGAGTTTTAATATTTTTTTTAAAAAGCTTCATAATTTTATAATTAGTATTATATATAATAGCCATGTTAACTCTTTTTTCAAACTCTTTTGATAATACTTTTAGCATTGTTATATTATTACTATGAGAAACAAAAAATATTACTTTTGGTTTATCAACATTTTGCATAAGAAAATTATCTAATTTTTTTTTATTAGAAATTTCTACATAGGAATATGGTATATTTTTATTTATAAAGGATGTAATATTCTCATCTGTTCTATTACCATAAAACGTTTCATAGGTTTTATTTGATTTCATTAATATAAGATGAGGCAAAGATTTAACATGATATTTTCTGCATAAGTTTTGTTCTTCTTGACAATTTACAACACCAAAGGTAACGAAACCATCAAATTTCTTAGATAATTTTAAGTATTTTTTTTTGAACGAAACACAATGAGAACATGAAGGAGAATAAAAATTAATAACTAATGAAAATGTTATATCATTAATAACTGATTCAAAATTCCTAGAATTTATTTTTAATACTTCGTTTTTATATATATCTTCATATTCTTCTTGAAAATTACTAAAGGTTGACCCACCAGAAGTAAACTTAAAATGAAAATTACCAGCACGACCACCACCACCTGCCCTTCCACCAGCAAACTGCTTAAAAATTTCATTAACAACATCTTGATCAAATTGAAATCCATGTGGATGACCTCTGCCTTCTGATTGTGCACTTTGTGCATAATCCTCACCGTACATATCATATAATTTTCTTTTTTCTGGATCAGATAGGGTTTCATAAGCGTTGGCTATTTCAATAAAGTCTTTTTCTTTATCTGGGGCTACATCAGGGTGATATTCTTTGGCTAGCTGTCGATATGCTTTTGAAATATCTTCTTTTGTTGCATTTCTTTTTACTCCCAATCTTTTATAGTAATCCATTCCTTTTGCAAAGGATAAAAAAAATGATAATATTAACAAAAGAATTGAATGAAAAATTTTTATTTTCTTCCTTCTTTTTACATTGGTAACATTCATTATTTGGTCTGCTATATTTAAATATTCTCTTTTTTTTTTCATATATATAACCAATTATTTTCTATTATTTTTAAATATTATTTGCAAAATATATATATATATATATGTATATATATATATATATACATTTATATATGTACAAAAATAAACATGCTTTTTTTTTTTTTTTCTTTTTTTTTTTTATATTAGCTTAATCATTTCTAAATTTAATTTTTTATCTTTTTATTTTAATATTTTTTTATATAATTTTTTTTTCTTTGTATCAATAGATTAAATTTTTTAAATATCATTCATATTTGTTG